AAAATTTACAAAAAATAAATTTCCAAATTTGAATGCAGTTTATTAGAGAATTTCTCCAGAAACATTTAGAGGTATGTCACTTCAAAATCCGATGAAGATAAGTTGAGTTATGGACTTCAGAACTTCAGCCTTGGGTCAATTTTGAATTTCTACAACATCATAACATCAGAAAAATTACAAAAAATTTAAAAAAAAAATAAAATTCTAAATTTGAATGCAGTTTTTTAGAGAATTGCTCCAGAAACATTTAGAGGTATGCCACTTCAAAATCCGATGAAGATAAGTTGAGTTATGGACTTCAGAACTTCAGCCTTGGGGCATTTTTGAATTTCTACAATATCATAACATCAGAAAAATTACAAAAAAATGTACAAAAAATAAATTTCCAAATTTGAATGCAGTTTATTAGAGAATTTCTCCAGAAACATTTAGAGGTATGCCACTTCAAAATCCGATGAAGATAAGTTGAGTTATGGACTTCAGAACTTCAGCCTTGGGTCAATTTTGAATTTCTACAACATCATAACATCAGAAAAATTACAAAAAATTTTAAAAAAAATAAAATTCTAAATTTGAATGCAGTTTTTTAGAGAATTGCTCCAGAAACATTTAGAGGTATGCCACTTCAAAATCCGATGAAGATAAGTTGAGTTATGGACTTCAGAACTTCAGCCTTGGGGCATTTTTGAATTTCTACAATATCATAACATCAGAAAAATTACAAAAAAATGTACAAAAAATAAATTTCCAAATTTGAATGCAGATTTTTAGAGAATTGCTCCAGAAACATTTAGAGGTATGCCACTTCAAAATCCGATGAAGATAAGTTGAGTTATGGACTTCAGAACTTCAGCCTTGGGGCATTTTTGAATTTCTACAATATCATAACATCAGAAAAATTACAAAAAAATGTACAAAAAATAAATTTCCAAATTTGAATGCAGATTTTTAGAGAATTGCTCCAGAAACATTTAGAGGTATGCCACTTCAAAATCCGATGAAGATAAGTTGAGTTATGGACTTCAGAACTTCAGCCTTGGGGCATTTTTGAATTTCTACAATATCATAACATCAGAAAAATTACAAAAAAATGTACAAAAAATAAATTTCCAAATTTGAATGCAGTTTATTAGAGAATTTCTCCAGAAACATTTAGAGGTATGCCACTTCAAAATCCGATGAAGATAAGTTGAGTTATGGACTTCAGAACTTCAGCCTTGGGTCATTTTTGAATTTCTACAACATCATCACATCAGAAAAATTATAAAAAAATTAAAAAAAAATAAAATTCCAAATTTGAAAGCAGTTTATTAGAGAATTGCTCCAGAAACATTTAGAGGTATGCCACTTCAAAATCCGATGAAGATAAGTTGAGTTATGGACTTCAGAACTTCAGCCTTGGGGCATTTTTGAATTTCTACAATATCATAACATCAGAAAAATTACAAAAAAATGTACAAAAAATAAATTTCCAAATTTGAATGCAGTTTATAAGAGAATTTCTCCAGAAACATTTAGAGGTATGCCACTTCAAAATCCGATGAAGATAAGTTGAGTTATGGACTTCAGAACTTCAGCCTTGGGTCAATTTTGAATTTCTACAATATCATAACATCAGAAAAATTACAAAAAAATGTACAAAAAATAAATTTCCAAATTTGAATGCAGTTTATTAGAGAATTTCTCCAGAAACATTTAGAGGTATGCCACTTCAAAATCCGATGAAGATAAGTTGAGTTATGGACTTCAGAACTTCAGCCTTGGGTCAATTTTGAATTTCTACAACATCATAACATCAGAAAAATTACAAAAAATTTAAAAAAAAATAAAATTCTAAATTTGAATGCAGTTTTTTAGAGAATTGCTCCAGAAACATTTAGAGGTATGCCACTTCAAAATCCGATGAAGATAAGTTGAGTTATGGACTTCAGAACTTCAGCCTTGGGGCATTTTTGAATTTCTACAATATCATAACATCAGAAAAATTACAAAAAAATGTACAAAAAATAAATTTCCAAATTTGAATGCAGTTTATTAGAGAATTTCTCCAGAAACATTTAGAGGTATGCCACTTCAAAATCCGATGAAGATAAGTTGAGTTATGGACTTCAGAACTTCAGCCTTGGGTCAATTTTGAATTTCTACAACATCATAACATCAGAAAAATTACAAAAAATTAAAAAAAAAATAAAATTCTAAATTTGAATGCAGTTTTTTAGAGAATTGCTCCAGAAACATTTATAGGTATGCCACTTCAAAATCCGATGAAGATAAGTTGAGTTATGGACTTCAGCCTTGGGGCATTTTTGAATTTCTACAATATCATAACATCAGAAAAATTACAAAAAAATGTACAAAAAATAAATTTCCAAATTTGAATGCAGATTTTTAGAGAATTGCTCCAGAAACATTTAGAGGTATGCCACTTCAAAATCCGATGAAGATAAGTTGAGTTATGGACTTCAGAACTTCAGCCTTGGGGCATTTTTGAATTTCTACAATATCATAACATCAGAAAAATTACAAAAAAATGTACAAAAAATAAATTTCCAAATTTGAATGCAGTTTATTAGAGAATTTCTCCAGAAACATTTAGAGGTATGCCACTTCAAAATCCGATGAAGATAAGTTGAGTTATGGACTTCAGAACTTCAGCCTTGGGTCAATTTTGAATTTCTACAACATCATAACATCAGAAAAATTACAAAAAATTTAAAAAAAAATAAAATTCTAAATTTGAATGCAGTTTATTAGAGAATTTCTCCAGAAACATTTAGAGGTATGCCACTTCAAAATCCGATGAAGATAAGTTGAGTTATGGACTTCAGAACTTCAGCCTTGGGGCATTTTTGAATTTCTACAATATCATAACATCAGAAAAATTATAAAAAAATTAAAAAAAAATAAAATTCCAAATTTGAAAGCAGTTTATTAGAGAATTGCTCCAGAAACATTTAGAGGTATGCCACTTCAAAATCCGATGAAGATAAGTTGAGTTATGGACTTCAGAACTTCAGCCTTGGGGCATTTTTGAATTTCTACAATATCATAACATCAGAAAAATTACAAAAAAATGTACAAAAAATAAATTTCCAAATTTGAATGCAGTTTATAAGAGAATTTCTCCAGAAACATTTAGAGGTATGCCACTTCAAAATCCGATGAAGATAAGTTGAGTTATGGACTTCAGAACTTCAGCCTTGGGTCAATTTTGAATTTCTACAATATCATAACATCAGAAAAATTACAAAAAAATGTACAAAAAATAAATTTCCAAATTTGAATGCAGTTTATTAGAGAATTTCTCCAGAAACATTTAGAGGTATGCCACTTCAAAATCCGATGAAGATAAGTTGAGTTATGGACTTCAGAACTTCAGCCTTGGGTCAATTTTGAATTTCTACAACATCATAACATCAGAAAAATTACAAAAAATTTAAAAAAAAATAAAATTCTAAATTTGAATGCAGTTTTTTAGAGAATTGCTCCAGAAACATTTAGAGGTATGCCACTTCAAAATCCGATGAAGATAAGTTGAGTTATGGACTTCAGAACTTCAGCCTTGGGGCATTTTTGAATTTCTACAATATCATAACATCAGAAAAATTACAAAAAAATGTACAAAAAATAAATTTCCAAATTTGAATGCAGTTTATTAGAGAATTTCTCCAGAAACATTTAGAGGTATGCCACTTCAAAATCCGATGAAGATAAGTTGAGTTATGGACTTCAGAACTTCAGCCTTGGGTCAATTTTGAATTTCTACAACATCATAACATCAGAAAAATTACAAAAAATTAAAAAAAAAATAAAATTCTAAATTTGAATGCAGTTTTTTAGAGAATTGCTCCAGAAACATTTATAGGTATGCCACTTCAAAATCCGATGAAGATAAGTTGAGTTATGGACTTCAGAACTTCAGCCTTGGGGCATTTTTGAATTTCTACAATATCATAACATCAGAAAAATTACAAAAAAATGTACAAAAAATAAATTTCCAAATTTGAATGCAGATTTTTAGAGAATTGCTCCAGAAACATTTAGAGGTATGCCACTTCAAAATCCGATGAAGATAAGTTGAGTTATGGACTTCAGAACTTCAGCCTTGGGGCATTTTTGAATTTCTACAATATCATAACATCAGAAAAATTACAAAAAAATGTACAAAAAATAAATTTCCAAATTTGAATGCAGTTTATTAGAGAATTTCTCCAGAAACATTTAGAGGTATGCCACTTCAAAATCCGATGAAGATAAGTTGAGTTATGGACTTCAGAACTTCAGCCTTGGGTCAATTTTGAATTTCTACAACATCATAACATCAGAAAAATTACAAAAAATTTTAAAAAAAATAAAATTCTAAATTTGAATGCAGTTTTTTAGAGAATTGCTCCAGAAACATTTAGAGGTATGCCACTTCAAAATCCGATTAATATAAGTTGAGTTATGGAGCTTAGAACTTCAGCCTGGGGACATTTCTCAGTATTCTTGAATTTCTACAACATCAGAACATCAGAAAAATTACAAAAAAATTTAAAAAAAAAAAATTTCTAAATTTGAATGCAGATTTTTAGAGAATTGAGCCAGAAACATTTAGAGGAATGCCACTTCAAAATCCGATGAAGATAAGTTGAGTTATGGACTTCAGAACTTCAGCCTTTGGGCATTTTTTTGTTGTTTTGAATTTCTACAACATCATAAAATCAGAAAAATTACGAAAAAATGTAGCGAAGTCTTCAAATCCGCATTGGCTCCTCAAAAAAGTTGACAATAATAATGAGTGTAGCAAATATTTGTGAAGCTTACTGGTTTTTATCCGAATTCTTGATACTTTAGGATATAAAGCCTTTAATGTCATTAAAAATCGCACAGTAAGACCTGTCATAATCTTCATTATCTCTTTTTTCTGGCTTTTCATGATCGAATTTGAAGATTAAACATATTTTGGCCCTAATTCCCTCGAGACTTTCCCACGCGCTGCTGCTGTCTGAAACGCTCACCTACTTGCTATCTCTTTCACTGCCTTTAAGCCTGTCTCTTTCTGGGCTCAGGGCTCAGTGGACGTCTTCAACGCGTTTCTGCAATGAATGAGATAAGTGATGAGGTGTGTGTAAGTAATTAAAGAGCCCTAACGCATAATGGAAGTTAAGTGTGTGTTTGGAAGTGGTGTCGGTGTTACCAGATTATTGAGAGCGTGTGATGTGGATGTGTGAGTGTCAGGTGCTCCATCAAAGCGCGAGACATGACGTAGGAGTGAGTTCCGGCATTGAATTTCCCACGACAGACCCAATTCTCACCCTTTAACCACGCGAGATTTTGTTTTATGTAAATATAATAAGCGCCTGTCTGCGTGTGCGAGTGTCTGGCAGAGACGGCATCAATCATACGCCATGTTGTGCTGCGTTGAATGGTGGCTAAACAGGCGGAAACGCTAAAACGCGCGCACTCACTCACACAAAACCACGCAAGTTGCAAAATTGAAAATTTATCGTCTAGAACACACGCACACTAAACCGCAACATGAACAGCGGGCGCTAACAAGAAATTGTCAGCAACAAATTCAGCCGGCAACGGCAACTGCACAGTAGTAACACATCGCCGCACTGCAGCAGCAACAGCAGCAGCAGCAACAACAGCAACAGCAACAGTAGCAACAGCAACAGCAGCAACAGCAACGGCAACATCAACCTGCCATTCCATGAACCTTCAACTAAGTTGAGCTGTTGCATGCGCTTCATCAACGTCATGCTTAGTCGCATTCGAGACATTGTAGGCATTGCATTTGCAACAGAGTGCAGCAGAGTGGAGCAGATATCGCAGGCGAGCGGGGGTTAAAGGGAGGGGTGTTGTTTCAGGAGGGTGGCGTAGGGCACACCCGATAAAAATTCCAAACATGCAGCCACTGGGAGCCCCAATCACTCCATTCGCAGTGACTTTGTTTGCTTTGGTCTGCATTTAGATGAACTCGCACATAGGAGAAGATATCAAAAGTTGGCACTTTAAGGAGAAATAATTAGGAAATTATTTAAAGTAAAATTAATTTAGAGACAAAAATTACAAAATAAAACATTTAAGTGTTCGATTATCTTTTCTGTTCTTTTAGTTGCAAGACTAAGACTAAATTACAGCAGAAACTGCATCCCATTTTTCTGAGTGCAACTTTGTGGTGGCATAGTTGAATGACAAATTTATTTGCCCACAACTCCCAGACAAGCACGATTCCCGAATGACATTTATGAGATCTGACTGTTCAGCAAGGGAATTCGCTTACATCCTGTGCGGAGCGTTGTGGCCCCAACATTGTGCAAGCTAAATCAGTTAGATGGCTAATTTATGAATGCAGTTGCATTTGGAATCCAATTAGCTACGGCGGCACCCAAGGTAGCAAAGTAACAAGAAAATACAAATTACAGGCCATAATACGAGAAATTCCAGTGGCCCACAAAAAAGAGTCCCACAATGCATTTGCATGCGCCGTTAAGTGCGAATGGAAAAAACACAGCGGATCTAGGAAAAGCCTAGGAAACCCCGGTTAGCAAGGAAAAGCGAGGAAAAGCGAAGGCAACATGTGTGTGTTTTTCTGACACTGGATAAAGATAATCAACTTTCGTCATCAGGAGAAATGCGGCATGGCGGCAACAGCTCGACAGTTTTTAATTGAGTTTACGCTTCGTGTGCTGCGTTATGAAAGTGTGTGTACTGATGGGGGTACACAAGGAAAAAAAAGGATATTTTGATGCATTTTATACAGTTTTTTCTGTGTTGAAAATGCCCAATTTATGCCCAATTCATGCGATTGAAGCATTATACAGGTTATCATATGTACCTGGTTAAAAGTGGTTAACGAAGTGAACCAGACTCTTTTTTCTCCGTGTTCATGTGGGAAAGCGCACTATTTGCACTCAGCTGGAAATGACTCGCTTTGCGGTTCTTGCACTTACACTTGCCGTTCTTTATGCACTCGTATGCCCTATTTGCCCAGCTTCTGCCAAGATTTTTAATTAAGTTAATGAAGAGCATCGTGTGGTTTTTGGCCACATTTAGGAACACTGCCAAGAAGTCGCATTTCCCGTGCTTATCAAGTCCCCTTTTAATAAGGACATTAGGGGAAATCCGTGGCACTCAACACATTGTATTTACTTACCGCCGGCCACACGGAAAGCCATAAAGGATGCTGGGCTACTCTGCAGGGATAGAAATGATGATAGGGCTGATCTTGAAAGCGGGAAGGGGGATAAAAAATGAAGCTCAGTTCCGAAACTTCCGGCTGCTGGCGAAAGTAAACATTAAATATTTATGATGCTGCACAAAAAATGCAATCAAAAACGTGAGAAAAGTTTCTATTGCATATTTATGTGCGCACTGAGCGGAAAGCGCATCAAGGAGGAAAAAAGCTGCGAAAATATTGCTCAAAATTCTGAGCTGGCTTTGTAATGCTCTTACTTGGAATTGCAACGAGCAGATTACATTCCCAGCTGCCTTTTTCGTATATTTTGGAGAGGTATTACAAGAAATATGTTTTCTTTCTGTGAAGCAGAAGAGTGTCAAAGGATCAAGAAGGACTACATTTCTCAAGCTGAAAATTGAATTATGGTAATACGTGTAGATACCTCAATATTTTCATATATTTCAAAATTGACTGCTATAAAAACCAGTCAGCTAGACCGTCTTTCACCGCACTTGTGATATATTTAATTAAGCGGTGAATAATATAGCTTAGCTATCATTTACCAACTCTTTAATAAAGCTAAGTTCCCCCTTCAAACGCAGGGCACAATAGACTCGAGCTCGCTGTGAAATGTAATGAATATAAAAGTGTTGCCGGCGATGAAGGTCGGGGGTTTTTGGGAGGTGCAGGGCTTCTGAGAGCGCTGCACCAAAATGGTTTTCAATTTAGTTAATTTATGGTGCGCATTGTTGGCTCTGAAGTCGCACTGGCACACAATGGGCATATTTATTGCCGTTTTATTTTCCCATTTCAATGCAATTACCCAAGCCGACTGCCGTACCAACCGAAATGTATGCTTATAAATGGATATTTTTGAAAGTATTGGGGGCCAGCACAGTGCTCCATGAGACTGCGGAAAGTGCTGAGCCGAGTATATACTCGGATACCCTGAAAACATATATCTCACTGTCCATTGTGGGACCAGCTGTCCGAAAAGCGGCACTTATCCAATTTAAGGAGCCACACAATGCCCAAGGATCTGGCCGCCGTAAATTGCAGGCCCGCCAGGTTGGAGGACATTAGAACACATGTCGGGCTGTTCCACGCCTGCTCCTCCATCCTCCAGCGCCAGTTAAGTGCAAAGTTTTAACGCTGGTTAGCAGCTGCTAATTAGCATAAAGTTGGCTCAACTTTCGCGCCACTCTGGCACACATTCACTGGGAAAAAAAGGGCTTTAGCAATCTGGAAAAATCTGCGGAGACAGAAAATTGCACGGCCTAGTTTCGCGGAAACTTTCGACGGGATGGCTTAAAAACTGAGAGCAAACTTGGGATATAATTCATGTCACTATTATTAGCTGCAACACTTCCACTGCACCCATTTAGACACCCATCTACTGTTTTTTCTACTTTATCTCTCCAAAGTGAAACCACTATGTTTCCAAAGTGAAACCACGCCGAATATCCAATTTTATGCCGTGTAACAGCAGACGAGAGGGGTTCCATTCATTCCGCTTTTTGACAGCGTCACTGGCTTTAGTCTGCGTGACGCTGCAGCATCTCGGAGGGATCCTTCAGCTCATCCTGCTCCTTGTGCTCCCCGCGCGTCCTTCCGGGGACCATTCCTCATTGCTCCCAGGATGGCGCCGGCTTTCGCTGCCGTCTTTTGTTTAGCTTGAAGCACGTCTCGCTCATCTCTTTGATAAATATTAGTTTAATTCTTTGCAGGAGATGGAACTTCAAGGCTGCCGCTTCAGCCTCTTTAGTGGCTCGTTTTCTTATTTTATACAATTATTCGGTTTCTTTTTCCGCACTTTATTGGCCTGGCGCATTTTATGTCCTTTGTTTGGCATTTCATTTCATTTCGCCCGCCTGGCTAAGTGAAAAATGTAAATATTTTGCTTTGATTGAAATCCAAGTATCGAGCTTACAGCGCTGCTGGTAACTCGATCAGCTGAAAATTGATGGAAAATCGCTGGACTCGAAATTTATTAACTTAAGCAAAAAAAGGAAGCAAAGCCAATTTCGTTCTCTTATTTACTTAAAGTGTACTGGAAATTAAGTTTTTAGCAATCGAATAATTTCTCTTTTTCTCTTAGTGAGTAAACGTTACTTTTTGGTCCTTTCTCCGACCAATTGATTTCCATTCAGGACTATCCATTTTTATGCCAGCCAAGTTTCTTTTTTCAGCATATATTGAAGAGAAAGGCGCCGACAAAAAGTGGTGCCAACTTAATTCGATGCCGGGCTGAAATCCGACCAAATCTCTTGGCTCTAATAGGCGGCCTGCAATTTGGCCCATTCAGGAGAATGGTTTCCATTCAACGGCTTTGCAATCAATGAATGCTACTTCTCTTTGGCGTTTTGCTTCTGTCGAAAACTGGGAAATTCTGGAAATTGGCAAGTGACAACCTCGTTGCATTTCGGTTTCCGGGCTCATTCATTGAGGGGAAAATGCTGCGCTTGCGATCCATTCATGAGATACTTCAGCTCACACAATCTGTGACAATCTGTCTGACATTTGCCAGATTTCCGAAGGCCAACAGACACGTTTCCCGCATACAATATCACCTAAAGCTCCCCACATTCCCAGTTCCCCTCACCTGAGTTATGATTAGATGACAGAGCGGCGTGACGTTTAAATTGAATTTTCGATTCTAGCATGTTTATTTCACATCTGCCTTTGTCCAAACTTTTCTGCCGAGCAGACTCTAAATTTAGCCGAGACGGCAAGCAAACAAAAAGCCAAATACAAGAAACATCCGCTGACAGTGATGTACGTATATATCTTTGAAAGCATGGCGAGGTGGAAATTTCCAAAGGGCACGAACGACAGGTGCAAATGTCGCTGCTGGGTCGAGCAATTTGTCGGAAAAGTTCAGCG